TCATTAACTTACAAGTGTAAGCTGACCTGTTAATTCCCCTAATATCATTCAATTATTGATGTGTGTTTTTACTACCAAAAAAAAACCTAAAAATTGTGAAATGCATTGTGGTTTCAAATTCTTTTAGAAAATATTAAAGGTTGGCCTTTCTTCTAGTCCATGAATAAGATTGGAAAGTATTGTTCAAATCTGTCGAATGTATCACTGGTTTTATTTCGATAATTTGAATAATTTTTTTGTAGGACCAATTGTATGCATTATTTAAAAAATTAAGTTAATCCGATAATCGTATCTTATTCAATTGATCACATTTACAATTAAAAAAATGAATGGTAAGTATATTTTTAAAAATAAATCATTTAGGTTTTTTTTGTGATAAAGTGATAAATTAAATAACTATCAAATTGAATTAATTTTTTTTTTCTATGTGATATAAACAAAAAAAAAAAATAGCACAAAAGCTTAATTTCCTTGAGGAATGATCTGATTTTTTTTTTTGGGTGTGTCATTTGGTATGAACAAATCTCGCTCACAATTTCACTCATTAATTGCTATTTATTTTTTTATTTTTTTTTAGTCGCCATTTATTAGCATGGTATTGGTTATTTTTGGACAAATATAAAAACTTTAAAAAAGACCTAACCGCATAAGGGTGACTTCTAAGATTAGACCCTAAAGAGTCAAGCCGTTAGAGATCATCCTCAGGTGGTTCTACACATCAAAGCTACTTGACCATATAGTAGTAAGTCGTAGACTCACACACAGGAGAGGATACAAGCTCACACTCCTGACACTGGGTACGATTCACTCAAGCCTGGAAGGTATGCTCTATCGACCATATATACTATTATCTGGGTGGCTGGCCCTGTGGAGAGTTAAACTTGGTACCCCAAGATTTATACCTTAAGGTCTTACCAAGTTGCCACACCGCCGCTAGGGTTAAATATAAAACTTTATTTATAGAGATAAGATTTTATTAGGGTTATATAACATGTTATATTTTTTGGCAAATATAAGAATTTAGGATAAGTTTGAAAACTTCTTATAATAGTTTAAAAAAGTCAACAAATTATCCTCGTCCGTTAGTATGAGGCTGGCTCTTTGATCTATATGTAGAAGACTAAAGAATAGGTGATCATGAATAACAATAAACTCACGGATCTGGAGGAATTTGGAGGACTTGTTGAAATTTCTCTGTGCTTTTGAATTCTATTACTATTCAAAAAGTTCATTGCTCTTGGGTTTCAAATTTTGAATGGTACATCAAATGGTAGAGGGAGAAAGTGGGTTTATTGACCTTTTAAGCTTACGGTTGTGCATTTCAGTACATATGCTTATGAAATTTATGGAAATTTTGAATTGTGTTTCATGTCAGAGAAATTTTTTTGAATTTTCTTTGTGTATTTTTGAAATTTCTCTGAATTTTTCTTCAAAGAGAAATTTGTCTAAAATTTCACTGGACTTAAGTCAATGAAATTTCACTGATGTATGTCTCATCTTTTTCTTTATTTTTACCATCTCTCCATCCCTTAATATGTCTTTCTTCCCCTTCTACCCTCAATGAATTTAGGGTTTCTTTGACTTAATCAGGTATTTTTTACTAATCTATAGTAATGATAATGAAATTTCACCGGCTTAGTCAAGAAAACTTAAATAAAAAACTTGTTGGTGCTTGTCATTTTATGTATAAACTTTTTATTAAAAGAAATATATGTAATAGGACCTCATTTTTATAATTCATCTGAGGCCCACTACTACAAAATTATAAATAGATTACGAATTTTAAGTGTGATGTATGTTATTTAATCATGGATTTTTTATTTTGTTAAAGTGGCAATATTTGAGAGTGCGATTGTTAAGAGTCATTTTCGATCACACTTTTTGACCGTCATTAAAAGATAATTGTATCACATATTTTGACCGTGATAATAAACATTTAAATCACGAATTTTAAGTGTGATTAATAACCAATAAAACTTGAGATTGAACTTAAATAATCCATAATTAATAATGGAATAAGATCATAGTTATATGTATTTTCCATCACGGTTAGTGCGTGTGATAAAAAAAAGTCTCAGGCCACAAAATGTCAAGCATATAAATCGTAATTAAAATATGAACAAAACTAATATCTAAAATGTGAAGCATTATGGTGATGCTCGTGACGAGATTTGTACGTTGTGGTTTTGTTGGCCGTGGTGGTGGTGGTGGCGGCTCCGGCTAGTGCTTGGTCGTATTCGTGGTGTGGGCATGTAATGGAGGGAGGTTGTCTTGCAGAGAGGAGGTGCCTTTGCCAAATTGGTGGGACAGATGGTGTAATTTTGGTTTGGGGTTGTTGGGCAAACTCAGCGATTGTGTTTAGGAATTGGATAAGACCAGAGCCGTCGCTCATTGTGTGGTTCAGACGTATTGCAAATGTGAATCCACCACAACTAAAACGCGTCACCTGAACATATTTATTACCACATGTTAGAACACAGTCGCCACACATTTAAAATTTGGATAAATTATGTCGATAGTCACCAAATATCAAAAACAGGGGAAAAAAATCACTAAAATTCAGTATATTTTAATTTTTTTAAATATTTTACTTTATAGATATATCTAACTAAGGTATATCTAAAAAAGTAAAAAACTTACTTAAAATTTTAAAAATATTCATTAAAAACAAAAATATATAAAAAAATTAAAACTAGAAAATTAAAAGAGCAAATTACACTAACCGTCTATATAACTTGGGACTTGTGTCACTTTAGTCTTTGACTTTTCAATTGTAACACATTTGACCTTGAATTTTGAATCTTGTTCCAAATAAAGACAATTGAAGATACCATTGTTTAATTTTAAGGGCAAAATTATCAATTTAATAAAATATAAACTAATTTAACAAAAAAAATATTTTTAATTTTTTAAATATTATTTCTATCCACTAAATAAAAAATTATGTAAAATTGATCAAAATTAATAAAAATTACATGATTAATTTTTGAAAATTAATTTTACATGATCATTATCCAAACTCATAATAAAAATTAATTTGATAAAAAAATAAATAAATATCTAAAAAATTTATCAATTTTACATAATTTTATATTTAGTGAGTAGAAATAATGTGTCACAATCGAAAAATCAGGAATTAAAGTGACACAAGCTCTAAACTATAGGGAATATTAATCTAATTCACCCAAATTAAAATCAAACACAGAATGCACAATTCTTTCTATAGTAAACATTATTACCTGAATCAACAAGAGAGGACAACCCACAATTCCATCGGATCCAGGAACATCATACAGAAGCTCCTCCAAGTATGGACACCCTGGCCCAATCGTGTCGCCAAGCCAGTCGAGCTCCACATTTGCATCTGCCTCTATGAACAGAACCCCTTCGGCTGTGCAATCCACTGAGAGTTTCCGATTAGGCCCTTCAACAAGCCTCCCTGCAAATGGGTAGTAAAACACTAGTGCTTTGGCTAGTGCTTCTCTAATCACACTCGCAGGGTCTTTCCCTTCCATTGAAGGGTTGTTTTTGTAAAACATGATCACTGGAACTTGAAAACGAAAACCTTTTTGGTCATCTATGTCTGAGAGTTGTTTGAGTTCGTGTGGTGTGGGCTTTGATGGAACAAGAAGTTTTGGATTTTGTCTTCTCACGATGAATACTAGGGGAAGAGTTGAAGATGCCATTTTTGGAGGAAATGTGAATTAAAGAATATGTAATATCCATATGTTCTTTGTCATATGAATTTGAGAGGTATTTATAGAGTAATGATCTAGTAGAATATAAGAAACCCATCGCATAATGCAACTGTTATTTTTAGGAGTCTGGATTTAGTAAACTAAAAAATTTCAACGTCAGTATAAAATTGATCGATTACAAGTTAATTTAGATTTATTTTAGTGATATAAATAGTTTATATTATACAATTGAATAAAATAATTATTCATATAAAAAAAATTGAATTCATCAAATGTCGATTGTCATATTATTAGAATATTTTTATTTAAAAAGCTTACATGTTTTTAATAATAGAATGTTAGTTTATTATAATATATGTGATTTAATATTGTGATTATTTATACCTTATCAACTTAATTTTTTAAATATATTTTTTCTTAGTTAATCATATGAGATGAACAGTTCAAATCATTATAAATTTGATTGATTGATTGATTAAGTTAATCTCAATTAACTTAATAATAATTTTAATAAAAATCCTAAGACATTATCAATTGAACTTAATTTATTCAAAATTTAAAATTAATAGTTAAAATGAAAAATATAAGAATCAAAATTAACACAATGGACAAATGTAAAAACTATTAACGTAATGGTGTTGGTTTTTCTGAAATTGGTCATCTCGACATGGGAAAACGTTTAAGCTTAGTACGCCAACTTTGGAATCGATTTTGATGATCCAAAACATTCATTATTTAGGGCTCGTTGAGTAGAATATTCACATAAAAAATTAAGATAATCGGACATTGATAATTATAAGGTTTTACAAAAATGATGTTATTCTTAAAATTATATTTGTTATCTATTTTTTCAAAACAAATATAATTCAAACCTATAGATGCCAATGTACAATTATCTTCTCTCTTTTTTTTTTTTGCATAAATAATATATTCAATAAATCTTAAAAATTGAACAATTCGAAGCACCGAAATCGGTCCCAGAATAGACTTACCAAACCCAAATGCTCTTTCAAATTGTCCAACTTGAAAGAAGTCAAATCCTAATATAATTTGTTCAAATAAATTTATAGAAAAATATGAGTTGAGACAAAAAAAATTTAGGTACTTCTAAAATATCATGTGTCCTTACTTTTTTTACCAATTATCATGCTTATTTATATTTCTTAATTACCCAATCTAAAATCATAATACCTAACCATCTTTACAAATCATAATCCTACAGAAGACGATGTACGCAATAATCACCCGAGTTCAGACTCACGAAAGATGGGTGATGGTTGACTAGTACTAGTATTTTCACAAGCCACGAAAATTTGAAGCGACTACCGTCAACAACATTAATCCTCCTTGCATTTCACGTTTATTTATTTATTCACATTAGTTTAGACTCACTAAAGATGGGTGATGGTGACTAGATGGGTGACGGTTGGCTAGTTCTACTATTTCCATGGGCCAAGAGAATTTGAAGCGATACTCAAATCTCATTTTGATACTTACACAAATGTTAATGTCTTTCTTTATCACCGGGGGAGGAGGAGGAGGAGGCGGAGGCGGGCCGGAGGCGGAGGCGAGGCGACGATCGGAGGCGCTGGACGACCCGCGACGGCGGAGGCGAGGCGAGGCGAGGCAAGGCGACGATCGGACGACCTGCGACGGTGACCCTCCCCTCCCCTTCCTCTCTCTCTTCTTCCTCTCCCCTCCCCTCCCCTCTGCTCTGGTTCGGCCAGAACGAAGAAGAGGAAAAGAAAAAAAAAATTCAAAAACCCCCAAAACGACGTCGTTTTGGGGGGCTGCCGGGTAGGGCCGCCGGGTAGGGCGGCCGAGGATCCGGATTCATTTCCATGGGCCAAGAGAATTTGAAGCGATACTCAAATCTCATTTTGATACTTACACAAATGTTAATGTCTTTCTCTTTTTTATTTCTTTTTTAAATTTTTCACAAAATTTAATCATATGACAAAAATATGATTACGAAATGAGTGCAATAGAGAAAAATTATCCATATTTCCCGCCAATATATTTTGTCATACGTGATAAGAATATGTGAGCTATATAATAGAATATACATATATCATATATATGTTCATATGGTAAAAATTAAAATAGAATGGCCAAAAAGTAGAACTTTTGAAATATAAAAAAATACGACAGCGAAATCAAAGAGAAAGAAAGATGATAGATAGAAGACTATATTATCGTGAAAAATAAAATTTTGTGATTCTAATTTATGCAAAACTCTAGTTCATCTTATTAATTGTTCACAATTTGTGTTTTGTTTTAGTTTAATAAAGTTATATTTTTATGTAAATTTTAGAATAAAGTGTGTATTGGTGAAAAATATAAATGATTTTTCTTTTTTATCCTCATGTCGTAGTCACATTTTTATCACATGATTAAGGTCAAGTTTAGCAACCCAAAAATAATCCATCTTTTTATCTTTTTTCTATCACATCATCTCTACTTTTTTGCACATCTTTTCGTAAAAAGACAAAAAGTGCACTTTTTAGGTTATTACAAACAACCCCTTATGTTAAAGATTTAAACAATTGAGTAATGAAAAAAGGATATTGACACTTATATATGAACCAAAGTGAAATTTGACCAAAAACACATAGAGTTGACTGTCACAATTTATTATACAGGGACCAAAGTAGGATTTGACCAGAAGCATAGTAAGTTGATTGTCATAATTTTATATGTAAGAACCGAAGTGAAATTTACAAAGTGCAAAGGTACAAAATATAATTTCCCCTTAATTTTTTTTATTCACATTAGTTCGGACTCACTAAAGATGGGCGATGGTGGACTAGTACTCTTCTTAGTTTTGGTTTTTAGAATTTACTTTTCAAAAAATTCTATATTGTTTCTTTTTCGTATTTTTTTTTCACTAAATTTTTTTTAACATTTTAAGTAAATTTTTTTTTAATTTTTAGGCACACCTAACCTCAGTATACTTAAAAAGTATAATTTTTAAATTCACTAAATACCAAAAACATAAATAAATAAAAAATGAAAATTTAACATATTTTTCATATTTTTATTAATTTTTTAAAAATATTTTGTCACAAATATTTTATTTTTTAAATACATCTAAATAAGGTGTACCCAAAAAAGTAAAAAAACTTGCTTAAAATTTTAAAAAAATTCGCAAAAAACAAAAAAATAAAATATGAAAAATAAAAAATTCAATTTCTAAAAAAATTAAATTTAAAAAATTGAAATCAAACATGACTAGTATTTCCACAAGCCCAGAGAACTTGAAGCAACAATCTCCTTGCATCTCACATTTAACATTATGCATTTCACAATGCAGTTTTATGTCTTGTCACTTGTTAGTCGTCCCTGTTTCAAAAATAAAATGCTATTAAATATGTCTAATTTAATTAATTGAGAATGACATTACATAGGTTAATTATTTAATATTATAGTAATTTATTTTGAGTTTAGTAATATTTAAATTTTAACTTATTAATTAAATTAGAGGTGTGTAATAATTTTTTATTTTTGGTTTATTAATCTATCAAGTTTCAAAATTACTAGAAGTAACTCTTGTTTTTTTTGTTTTTTTTTTTTTAAATTTTTTATTATCCAGAAAAAAAAACTTTATTGATAAACACATAATGACTCTCCAAACTCCAATTAAGTTGACATTAAGAAAATCAGCCTATTATTTATTAGTTTTAATTAAGAGATTGGTGAGAAATCAACAAAATAAGAAAAAAAGCAAGCCAACCCCTCGAGAGCAAGCAATATGCTGGAAAGAATCCACCAACTAATAACTCAGCCCAATCAGAGCTCATCCTTAGCGCTAGGGAATCCACATCATGTTTTCATCCGTTTATCATGAGCTAACACAAACATGCGAGGAGCTAACAGTAAGCTGCAAAGGGACCACCCACTCACAGAACCTGATTTCATTCAGGTTAGACACATTGTCATGCACAGAATAGCTCACCCCCTTTGAGTTAGACTTAGCCCATAAAGCTAAGGACCGAGAGATACTGTTGTGATTAAATTTGTTTTTAGCCGAGTTCCCCAAATAAGCCACAACAACGATCTATGGTATCTTGGTGGGGTTTTTTTTGAGTTTTTTTTTTGATAATTTGAATTATTCATATAATAGGGTTCGTTGAATAAATCATCAATGCAAAAAACCAAATTGATTGAAAATCTATAACTCTATAACAATATCACATTTATTTTTTTAAAAAATAAACAGTTGACATGATCTTGATAATTTTTTTAAAACAATTTGAATATGATCATGAGATTGCTGATTTCTGATTAACTTAATTTTTTGCATGAATGATATATTCAACGAACCCTATAATATGAATTGTTCAAAAAATAAGAAAAAAAAATCAGAAAAAATCCCACTGATTAACTTAATTTTTTGCATGAATGATATATTCGACGAACCCTATAATATGAATTGTTCAAAAAATAAAAAAAAAAATCAGAAAAATCCCACCACACCACAAATTGTTGTTGTGACTGTCACTTTAATCACAGTAGGATTCCAAATCCTAAAGAGACCCTCACTCTCACCAAATCTTTTGGCTTCACCAAGTCAGGTTTGACCAATGGTCTCGTTTGAGAACAGACTTTTTAAATAATTTTTTTAGTTTTTTGATTAAAATATAATGTAAAAAAATTAGTATGTTTAGATAATTTTTTAAATTTTTACGAAAAAATGTGCAAAAAGTAAAAAAAAAAATATTCTTTGAGTTTTTGGTATAGGTTGTTAGTTTTTTGATTTTTTAGTGACTTTTTGTCTTGTAGGCTAAAAAATGATGTTATCAAACGTTGTGTGAACAAGTAATTTTCGGAAGTAGGTTAAAAGTTAACTTTTTTAAATCTTTTTTTGAAAAAATATACAAAAAAGTAGAGAAGTAATGTGACAAAAAAAAAAAAAAGACCAAACATACCCCAAAAAACTAGCTTTTAGAAATTTGATTTTGGTTTGTTTTTGGGAGAGTTGTTTTAGAAATTTTTTTGGTTTGTTTGGTTGTATATTTTGAAAGTAGTTTTGGAGTTTG